TCGCTGTTGGGAGCTAAGGGACTTGCTGGGAGTTGCTGGGATTTAAGGGAGTTGCTGGGAGTTGCTGGGAGTTGCTGAGAGTTGCTGGGATTTCAGGGACTTGCTGAGTTGCTGGAAATTGCTGAGATTTGCTGGGATTCCTGGGACTTGTTGGTTTGCGTGGAGATATTGGGATTTCATGGACTTGCTAAGTTGCTGGAAGTTGCTGCGAGTTGCTTGGATTTCACGGACTTGCTGAGAGTTGCTGGGATTTCAGGGACTTGCTGAGTGGCCGGAAGTCGCTTAGAGTTGCCGGGATGTCAGGGAGTTGAGGGAAGTTGCTGATAGTTGCTGGGATTTCAGGGAGTTGCTGAGAGTTGCAGGGATTTCAGGGACTTGCTGAGTTGCTGGAAGTTGCTGAGAGTTGCTGGGATTTCAAGGACTTGCTGAGTTGCTGGAAGTTGCTGAGAGTTGCTGGGATTTCAGGGACTTGCTGGGTTGCTGGGAGTTGCTGCGAGTTGCTGGGATTTCTGGGACTTGCTGAGTTGCTGGAAGTTGCTAAGAGTTGTTGGGAGTTCAGGGACTTGCTAGAAGTTGCTGGGATTTTAGGGACTTGCTGAGTTGCTGGGAGTTGCTGAGAGTTGCTGAGAGTTGCTGGGATTTCAGGAACTTGCTGAGTTCACACCAGTATTAGTTAACTTTGCAATTACTGCCATAGATAGTATTACAGTTTTATCAAAGGGTACATCAGTCTTCATGTGTGCAGCTGACATTTCCCGATCCTTCGGTATAACCGCCCCGACGGACGGTCTGGTGTAACCTCACCACTGCAACCTAACACGTAAGGCAAGCTCGTTATTAGTTAAAGAACATCTCATCAAATGAAAGTAACAGTCAATTTATTTATCACTGATGCGGCAATAAACGCGAGTCAGAATGTTGCACCTGATGGGTTTATCTAGCAGACTGTATCTACATTATCTCACACACGCGCTTCAGCTAGGGTCAACTGCTACCCCCCGTAACTATATATAGCCTCCATCAATCACATAGACTTGGTACAGGGCTCCTACTTATGCACGACCTTCACGCGCGTGTCATCCGTGACACAGGGTAACTTTGTATAGCCTCCACCAATCACATAGACTTGGTACAGGGCTCATACTTCTGCACGACCTTCACGTGCGTGATACCGGGTAACTATTTGTAATACATCCTGCACTGTCATCACACACGTGCATGACATAATGTTCCTCCACCGGTACCTTTACTTACTACACGTGCATGTCAGCTGGTACCTTTGTATTGCCAACCCACGAGTAAATGTTGCCATCGCACACGTGCATGGTATATGGTTCCAACAAGTTGCCATCCCATGAATGTTGCCATGCTTACGAGTGCATGATATAAGGCTGCTCCATGTTGCCATCCAACGCGTGCATGGTATAATGTTCCTCAATGTTGCCGCGCTAAACGTGCATGACATAATGTTCCTCCGTGTTGCCATCTCACACGTGCATGATATAAGGTTGCTCCATGTTGCAATTCTACACACGACAGTGTTGTCTTCGCTTTCCTGCTTGTAAATTGGGATATCCCTTTTGCTTTGGGACAGGTGATACAATGTCAGATATTACAATCAAACAGTTGTTGTGAATAACGCTACGGGAAGTAATTCTACCATTTTAGTATTATTGCATAGGACGTTGAAGTCATATACATGTTGTCTGTGAAAATAACCATTTTGCGCACAAAACTGGGTTCAGCGAGGTCTAACATTATTTTCACCAACCAGCGTGTCACATTCGGTAAGAATTGCGCACCTAGAATTACATACTTTCATTTGAATAACACAACATACACCCATGGCGTACAGCTCCTCATACCAATTAGAGCTGAAGTCGACTGCATGGAGTCTACAGGACTTCCTATACAACTAATGTGAGCGTGTTTTGACATCTCTTCTGTAGCGAGGGCGCTTGTCGTGGTTTTTCTGCGTTCGTTGTGAGGTGTTTGTTGGCATGTGGGTCTCATGGCAGCAGGGCAGATGTCTATACAACATGTACGTTGTACCTGCGAAATTATATTACCAAGAAAACAAACTGCTCCAGCGAGCAGTGCCGTGCTTACGCCAACAGCTAAACTTGGCTGCTCAGGTGCACACGGGCCTTATCTTTATTACAGAAACACTAAAAGACTGCCATATCTCAATACATTGCAATTTCCTATGCTTGTTGGAATTATTGGGTCTAGATAAAGGAAGGAGTGCGGTGACGTTTCGGGTCTTTCTATCTTTTGCGTTAACGTTTTAAGTTTGATAATAGGGTTTGGTAAAACCGTTCCTACCGAAAGTTTACAACATGCTTACTGTAGCAAACACAGGAACTGAAACCAACACCGGTTTCATGATATTATGACAGCATGCCTCGTTCATGTTTGTTATGAGGGCGTTATTGGATACCCCTTGGGTGTGAAAATCCTGATTCCTGATATACAAAAATAAGCCTCATCAGTTCAAACTTACATCTCCATAAATACGATGATTTCATCCCCTCGTCGAGCAGGGTGACACCCCGACTACACTCCGACCCGCTCTGGTCATTAGTACAGGAATGACGGGGTATCTATAACGTCATGCCATCTGTCCAGGGAGGTAGGGACAGTGTGACTCCCCGTGTTGCCGCCGTACTGTGTAGCACGGGGTATCAAGCTGTCTCTACAATCACAACTCTCCTCGGTGTATTAACGTGACAGAAATAACAAGTACGGAATGCCTGGCATGAAGAGACAACATGTGAAGTCTCGAGACAGCATGTGCACCTGGGGTGTTTGCCGCTATGCACCAACATGGGGCTTGGGTGGGACCCCTTTGCATTCCAAAACACCACAAGGATATAGGGATGGATATTAAAGCGTATCGTGGGTAATACTTACACGGACAGTCTATACAAGGTCTGTTATTTGTAAAAGTAAACATAAATGTCTCTGGATGTATGAGAGGACACAGCACATGGCGTACGTATATCCAGTGCTTGGAACGTCTGTCAGGGGGATGGGTGTATCTGCTTGTATCTGCTGTATTGGCATTGTTAGATCCCTGAAGTCTTCGTCGGTGTCTGTTAATGAGTGACCTCTATCAACTCCTCTTTGGTGACATATGTTTATATTATGACCAACAGAACGATAATAACCTATTACGGATGTGATAACAAATATATATGGCACATGGATGAATCAGCCACTGGATGAATTACTGCCCCTAGGACTACAGATCCAGTTATAGGCAGCAATAACAGGAACCAAGGGCGACCTTTCATGGATCGTCAAATATGCACTCTGAGAACCCGAATTCATGAGTACACGATGTAAGTAATGACGCGGTTTGGTGATATGTTGTCCTGGGACAGTGCAATCACAGTCTCTATCAACCCTTTGTGATGATCGATACCATTGTGTTGAACATTGACACTGGGGTCAATCTGCCTGCAACCTACTGTTCATTCAGCTTTCTTTAACGCTTCAGTCACCCCCCAAAACACGTTTGTTTGTGGAGACCAATCTACCAGTCCGATCCTCATTAACTCCGTACTCCATCACTATTCCGGTTCCGCTTCGACACTGTAGATGTAACTTCCGTACACATAGATACCACCCCATCACTCCGCTCCTCTCCATGCCGGTTCCGTTACCACACTGAAGATATAACGGCATCGGCTACTGCCCTACTAATAGATACCACCCCATCACTCCGCTCCTCTCCATGCCGGTTCCGTCACCACTGAAGATATAACGGCATCGCCTACTGCTCTGCACATAGATACCGCCCCATCACTTCGCTCCTCTCCATGCCTAGACTAACATCTAGTCTCTGAAATGAACTTAGCGTACACAAAAAAACAGTTGTTCAGTTATCTTAATAAAAATATAATAAAAAGGAGCCCAGTGACTCTCTTCATTTTCCTGATACTGCAGTGATCTAGACTTGCCAAACATTATAGACTTGCATGGGCTGTATTTGATATATATTTGTATCAGGGTCTGTAAGACAGACTACTCTATGCCGGTTCCATCACCACACTGAAGATGTAACGGCATCGGCTACTGCCCTACACATAGATACCACCCCATCACTCCGCTCCTCTCCATGCCGGTTCCGTCACCACTGAAGATATAACGGCATCGGCTACTGCCCTACACATAGATACCGCCCCATTACTTCCGCTCCTCTCCATGCCGGTTCCGTTACCACACTGAAGATATAACGGCATCGGCTACTGCCCTACACATAGATACCGCCCCATCACTCCGCTCCTCTCCATGCCGGTTCTGTTACCACACTGAAGATATAACGGCATCGGCTACTGCCCTACACATAGATACCGCCCCATCACTCCGCTCCTCTCCATGCCGGTTCCGTCACCACTGAAGATATAACGGCATCGCCTACTGCCATGCACATAGATACCACCCCATCACTCCGCTCCTCTCCATGCCGGTTCCGTTACCACACTGAAGATATAACGGCATCGGCTACTGCCCTACACATAGATACCACCCCATCACTCCGCTCCTCTCCATGCCGGTTCCGTTACCACACTGAAGATATAACGGCATCGGCTACTGCCCTACACATAGATACCGCCCCATCACTCCGCTCCTCTCCATGCCGGTTCCGTTACCACACTGAAGATATAACGGCATCGGCTACTGCCCTACACATAGATACCGCCCCATCACTCCGCTCCTCTCCATGCCGGTTCCGTTACCATACTGAAGATATAACGGCATCGGCTACTGCCATGCACATAGATACCGCCCCATCACTCCGCTCCTCTCCATGCCGGTTCCGTTACCACACTGAAGATATAACGGCATCGGCTACTGCCATGCACATAGATACCGCCCCATCACTCCGCTCCTCTCCATGCCGGTTCCGTTACGACACTGAAGATATAACGGCGTTGCCTACTGCCATGCACATAGATACCACCCCATCACTCCGCTCCTCTCCATGCCGGTTCCGTTACCACACTGAAGATGTAACGGTGTTAATCCTCACTCTCCCTGTAACCCGGAACCTCGTAGGGTGAACCACCAAGCCACTGTCATTGGGGTAACAAGCCATCTTCAGACACCTTCAATCAACTCTACTAAAAACAGGTAATTTTTTAATTGTGTGTCTTAGTGAGTTGTGTAGCGCTCTGGCAATGATATGGCGTTGGCCCACACGTGCCATCTCGGATTACAGGTTCCATTAGATTGTCTACATGTAGCGAGAGAGCTGTAACTCACTGCTTAAGACGTAAACACAGCGATAGATGTTGTCTTTTATCAAACCAATATGTTACCGGAACTGGTTCCCGAGGGTTTCATTTGCCGGAATATGTCCATGGTAGAGAATCAGTTCAGTTCCTCGAAGTTATTGTTCATAAGATAGCGATGTTGATGTACTTTGTGTCATAAGAGTGCAATATGTTTGCTTTCAGATTTCGTTATCGTGATTAGAATAACCACTTGAATGCCAACGCAACAATCACACTATTTAGAATACACGTAAATGATGTGTGTACACTGTTTCAGTTCAAGTCAATGTAAGTTTCCTATGTCGGAAGTTAAATCAATTTGCGTTTTCCTTCACAAGGGGTAAAATATATTGTTTTCTGGACAATCGGTAAAATGTATATTAGTTTCTTGTACAATCGGTTAAATATATGTTAGTTTCCTAGACAAGAGGTTAAATATATGTTAGTTTCCTAGACAAGAGGTTAAATATATGTTAGTTTCCCCTTCAAGAGGTTAAATATATGTTAGTTTCCCCTTCAAGAGGTTAAATATATGTTAGTTTTCTTGCAAGAGGTTAAATATATGTTAGTTTTCTGTACAAGAGGTTAAATATATGTTAGTTTTCTGTACAAGAGGTTAAATATGTTAGTTTCCTCATAATCGGTTAAATATATGTTAGTTTCCTAGACGAGAGGTTAAATATATGTTAGTTTCCTGTACAAGAGGTTAAATATATGTTAGTTTCCTAGACGATCGGTTAAATGTATGTTTGTTTCCTGTACAAGAGGTTAAATATATGTTAGTTTTCTGTACAAGAGGTTAAATATATGTTAGTTTTCTGTACAAGAGGTTAAATATGTTAGTTTCCTCATAATCGGTTAAATATATGTTAGTTTCCTAGACGAGAGGTTAAATATATGTTAGTTTCCTAGTCAAGAGATTAAATATATGATAGTTTTCTGTACAAGAGGTTAAATATGTTAGTTTCCTCACAATCGGTTAAATATATGTTAGTTTCCTAGACGAGAGGTTAAATATATGTTAGTTTCCTAGTCAAGAGGTTAAATATATGTTAGTTTTCTGTACAAGAGGTTAAATATGTTAGTTTCCTCACAATCGGTTAAATATATGTTAGTTTCCTAGACGATCGGTTAAATATATGTTAGTTTCCTAGTCAAGAGGTTAAATATATGTTAGTTTTCTGTACAAGAGGTTAAATATGTTAGTTTCCTCACAATCGGTTAAATATATGTTAGTTTCCTAGACGAGAGGTTAAACATATGTTAGTTTCCTAGTCAAGAGGTTAAATATATGTTAGTTTTCTGTACAATAGGTTAAATGTATGTTAGTTTCATGTACAAGAGGTTAAATATATGTTAGTTTTCTGTACAAGAGGTTAAATATATGTTAGTTTTCTGTACAAGAGGTTAAATATGTTAGTTTCCTCACAATCGGTTAAATATGTGTTAGTTTCCTAGACGAGAGGTTAAATATATGTTAGGTTCCTAGTCAAGAGGTTAAATATATGTTAGTTTTCTGTACAATAGGTTAACTGTATGTTAGTTTTCTGTACAATAGGTTAAATGTATGTTAGTTTCCTAGACTAGAGGTTAAATATATGTTTATTTTACTAGACAAGAGGTTAAATATATGTTAGTTTGCTAGACAAGAGGTTAAATATATGTTAGTTTCCTGCACAAGAGGTTAAATATATGACTTAGTTTTCTGTACAAGAGGTTAAATGTATGTTAGTTTTCTGTGCAATAGGTTATGTATATATGTCAGTATCCTATACAAGAAGTGTAATAATGGGTTAAACCAACTGAGATGATAGTGGTATACGTTCAGTAAGTCATATCTGGTGCAATGCTCAGCTACCAAAATGTGCATGTATTCCCAGTCACAGTGCATATTCGTTGTTCATGAGGATATGTCAAGCGCTTGACAATGTTTGCTTGACTTTACGGGTGTTAACTTCCGCGGGCGTGGATCTCTATAGCAACCGACCATATACAGCTGTACACCACAGTACATCATAGTACATTCAGGGTACATCACAGTACCTTCACGGTACATTCAAAGTACTTTCATAGTTCATTCAAAGTACATCACGGTACATTCCTAGTACATCAGGGTACATTCACAGTACATCATGGTACATCACAGAACATCACGGTACATTCCCAGTACATCAGGGTACATCATGGTATATTCAGGGTACATCACGGTAAACTCACAGCAGAGCACGGTACATCACAGTACGTCAGTGTACATTCACAGTATATCACGGTACATTCACAGTACGTCATGTTACATTCACAGTATATCACGGTACATTCACAGTACATCAGGGTACATTCACAGTATATCACGGTATATTCACAGTATATCACGGTACATCAGGGTACTTTCAGGGTACATCACAGTACATCACGGCACATTCACAGTACATCCACAGTACATCACGGTACATTCACAGTACATCACGGTACATTCCCAGTACATCAGGGTACATTCACAGTACATCAGGGTACATTCACAGTATATCACGGTATATTCACAGTATATCAGGGTACATTTACAGTATATCACGGCACATTCACAGAACATCACGGTACATTCACAGCACATCCATAGTACATCACGATACATTCACAGTACATCCACAGTACATCACGGTAAATTCACAGTAGAGCACGGTACATCACAGTACATCAGGGTACATTCACAGTACATCATGATACATTCACAGTATATCAAGGTACATCACAGTACATCACGGTACATTCACAGTACATCACGGTACATTAACAGTAGACCCGTAAAGATCTGGGCTAGAATAGGTCTTCAGCAGCCAATGCTTGCCGTAAATGGCGACTATGCTTGTCGTAAGAGGCGACTGACGGGATCGGGTGGTCAGGTTCGCTTACTTGGTTGATGCATGTCATCGTATCCCAATTGCGTGGATCGATGCTCATGATGTCAATCACTGGTTTGTCTGGTCCAGACTCGATTATTTACAGACCACCATCATCCAGCTGGAATAGCCATAGTTAAACAACAAACAAAACAAAAACAAACATCACAGTACATTCAGGGTAGTTTGCCTTGATTTCCTCATGTTTCCACATTTTGACATTTCCCCATTTACCTCTGTAATCTTATTATTATGAGTGTGCCTCTCGTTTGTTAACAGTTTTAGTTTACCCCCAATAATACCTTAGAATTTCTCTTGTGTTTCCACCGCATATTATAGATTAATTTTGAGTGCGTGTGATGAAAGCACCTGGAATACAGTCGTAATGGAACGATAACGTAAGACACACACGCATACCATAGCCCCCCCCTCGCATTCGCATTTTATGTCATTTTCCGCATGCGTTCACCCGCCTATGTACATATGACAGAAGTAATTAGTATAATACTTGGTATCTTACATCAGTTCCCGGTTTCTGGACAAATATGTATGTTGCGTCTCGTTCGAAAGTATGCAGTACACAGTGGTGTTCTCGAGCGATAACGATAAAGACCAACAACGATGATTTGTAACCGTCTGATTATCTTTCAAACTGTTCTACACACACATTCACTTCATACAGCCGTGATACCCCTCACGTGGTAAAAAGGGTTACTATATATATATATATCCCATTTGGGAAAGATATTCCAAACAAGCTGGTTCCCTCTGTACGCAAGGGATGTTCTCATTGCTGTGTTTATTTACGATCTGTCGATTGGTCCAAGGGAATCGTATTACTGCTTGAATTGGTCGGATAACGGCCAGAAATGTTTGGTTTGTCAAAACCTGATTATAGGTCAGATATACACTCCTCGTTAGGGCAGAGCTCAATATAGGAGGGACCCTGGAAGCGCGTGTTCTCACCTGTGGCTGCTGTAGACTGACGTGATGTCATGACGTAGGGGATGACTTATGGCAAACGAGTGTGGTATAGTGAGGTAAAGTAGGGAAGCATGTGGCAGATGCAGCGCCGCTTCTTGTGAGACGCGCATGTAAGTAGTCGGCGGATATATATATCTCTGGTGAGGGGGTACGTGGGAATATACCTGGGGCCAGAGAACCCCGACACTTTACACAACCACTGATACATGAAGTAGATACAAAATGATACCCTCCATATATCCTTATGACGTTGGTGTATCTATCCAAGATGCATACAGCCGCTTGCCGCTGTCAGATTCTGTCAGACGCTGTGTTGTGTTATCCCACTGACGTTCAGTGAAATGTAAATAATGAGCACAAATCGGATGTTGAACACATTATGGAACTTTCCTAATTACATAATTATTATTCGGGAATGCTCGGGGGGTTGTTTGTTTGTTTGTTGTTTAACCTATCAGCAATATTCAAGCGGTCGGTAAAAAATCGAGTCTGGACCAGACAATCCAGTGATTGACATCATGAGCATCGATCCACGCAGTTGGGATACGATGACATGCATCAAATCAAGTCAGCGAGCCTGGCAACCCGATCCCGTTAGTCGCCTCATACGACAAGCATTGTCGGCTCTTATGACAAGTTAATTAGTACCTTTCTTGCATATACACATATTTCTATAAGTAAGTGATGATATATGAATATCATGTGAAAATGTTTATGTTTTAGTGGAAATAATTCATTGAATCTGTTTATATAGCATGCATGTCCGAGATATTCAGAAGCACTCATAAAAGGTTTTACTTATCGGGAACCTGCACTTGACCTGGGGGATGACTCCGAGCCATGGAGTCCGTAGTGAGTATTGCTGTCCTTACCCGCAATACTGACTTGTGGCCTTGTTCCGCAAAGTGATCTGAGTAGCGTAATTCAGATAGTTTGACCCACTATGGAAACGTTCTACATAAAAGTGACAGCTGCA